AGTCTTGCTTCGTTGCCATGATGCCTGGAGGCAGATTGAAGAGACGCTTCTTTTCTAACAGCTGCAATCCCTAATCAGAAGATTCCATGGCACACCTCCATAGCCTGATTGGAGGCACCTGACAAGACAGTCTAGACCCGTGCACTCAAACTGGGGTATCCCTTTTGAAATTGCAATGCTCAAGCACTTTGCAATATCACTTGCCCCTTGAGTAGAGTGCGCGACTCCGAGTATATGACAGGCGTTTTGAGAAAGGCTCAAGCAAAATACAACTATGAGTGGCCATTTCAGGTCCAAAAAGGGCTGCGACGGTGTCCCCAAGCAAGTTGTGATCAGTGTTCCTATGCCTTGCGCTGCAACTCAGCTTTAGAGCGGATGTGTTGACACCTGAGCCCTGGCTCCCTACGGAATCTTTCTGCCGGGTACAGTGTGCCAATACTAAGTGCAATGAGAAGGATTGGGGTTGTCACTGTGAAAATAGCTTGATGCCAGATTCCTGAATAGCATTGTATTTCCTGATTTTTCAGAACTCTCGGGCAGAAGATTCTCTCTACCCTCCGCCATCTCCCAACAGCTGTGCTGTACAGAGAGAACACTGCCTTCGGAGTTGAAAAGAAATGGGCTCTTGGTGTTTTTGGGCTTTTCAGGGGTTTGATGCCGGGCTTCGTACAACCTGTCTTCTCTCACCAGCTGCATCTCATCCAGCCAGTAGTGTGACTTGAAGGGTAGGAAGCAAGTATGGTAGTTGGATGCAAGCGTCAGGCCGTGCTTGTTCGCCACATCATCAGCACCATCTCAGAAACCAATCTAAGAGTCTGCGGGTGCAGCAGCGGATCTCTCATGGGCAAGCTTTAGAAGTGATATCAGTTGCACAACGAGTGATAAAAGCAGTGCGAATAAATCCAGTACCCCTTACACATGGTTAGAGGAGAAGTAGGTAGAAGTCATCGCATCTGTCATATAGTAACCATGATGGCCATGCAACTTTAACTCCTTCTCTTCCGCCTCGTATTCCTCTTCTTGCCCCTCCTGCGAGAACAACCTTTACTGCTATTATGCGGCCGCTGCTGCTGCTGCTGCTGCTGCTGCTGGCTTCGCTGCGCACGTTCTTTTGCGGCGGCGGGATGCGTTAATGGGACTGCGTGGCGTGAGTCCATTGATGAAAGGTGGATAACGCCCTTGGGGATCTGAACAAGAAAGAGTTGCGTCCTGAACCATGGTCTACACTTGAGGGTCCACACCATAATAAAACAGCCTGAGCTTGGGCGTTGACAGGTTTAGAGAGGCCCTGAGCCTTGCAACCCCGCGCAGATGGTTTTTTTTCATCCTAACAGGACATTACATCAGGCGTGCTGCAACCCCAAACTTCTAAAGAGCTTGCACTGGGCTAACTTTCTTGAAGAGCCTACATCAGTGGCCCATCCTTTCGTTCCATGTTTCCAGTGCAGCAGTACCAATAACGATTCAGGTCACGATCATTTTTAGCTGGGTTCGTCGTAGCGGCGGTGATCTTTAAACACCACAAACCCAAACCACAGCTTTCGACTTAAGATGGAATTCAAAAACGCGAGTCTCGGAAAATCTGGAGGAGAGAATATGTGGTCGAATAGCGGACCACAAGTGGACCCAACAAGACAAGATAATTTTGAAAAAGGGTTCCATAAAACGACGATTGTCCAACGACGCCGACAATTGGAGCAACTCCGAACATGTTTCATGGGTCCCCCTACCCCCTACTCACCAAGAGGGAGCCCAAGTTTGTGCTCCCCACTGATGGGGATCTAAGGGTTTGTTTCCTCTCTTCGTTTTTGGGGCGGTACCCTGGTGAACCCTGTTAACCACCTTGCAATCCCTCTTACGCATAATCGATATGGGACGAGCAACTATAATCGTGGCTACCTTCCTACCTGGTCCTACATGATCCCTATGTATCCGACTGGGATCTTAGCCCGTCCTTGGATATTCCTAAAAGGGACCCCAGCAAGTTTCGATAAACTTTCTGTCGACTTGGCTTGGCTCGTAGCGCCCGAGCTCGGACGCTGAGACGGAGCCTGCGCAAGCGGCCCGTGCGGAGGCGCTGTATTTGAGAGTTTCCATAAACAGGGGCCTTCTCTTGTACACACCAATGTAATGCAGTCATTATTATGGGGACCAAACATAGGGATCCCTGATTTGGGGAAAGCCGATTTCTCGAGGATTTCCGGTGTAATGTATAGATTAATGATGTCTTTTTGGGAATACGATTTGTGCTACGAGGATTTCTCAAGGTCAGGATTGTGCGGGTCCCCATACTTGGTTTCTTGGTCATTGTGATGTCAATAAACCCATTATGGGATCCATTTTGAAAAGAGTAATTTAGGCGCACTTCCGCATGAGCTTTCGTCAAAAGTGGGGAGCTGTCACTTCCGTATATGACGCCCGGATTTAGGAGGGCAACCAAGTAAGAAGCATGACCTCGATGACCCTTGCTTAGGCACTGCAAGTTTTGGTCGTCAAGGGGCTAGGTGTAGAAATTTGGGTCAAAGGGAAATGCGGGTTGGTTATTCTTGTGCTGACCGGAAAGTGTTTGTTTGGAATTCTGGTGAGCTTTGCTGGTGAGCCATTTCCATATGTATAACATGCCTGTATCTACGCATGCATATGTGTGGTGCCCCTTTGGAGGGGACCCAGAAAATGTGCTTCATGGAGAGAAACGCAGGGCTCCATCATGGTTGTACAGGCATAGCATGGGGGTTCGTCGTATTTGGCCATATGTGATGGTGAGGCGCTAGAGATTACATATTGATGATGGTCTCCACTACCGAGGCCACCCATAATATCACTACACCCTTGGCTGTAAGGCGGTGCAAGAAGTTCTGTATGGTCGTATTGGGCCTCATTTGTGATAAGACTTGGAGAGCAACACAGTCAACTTCTTTATTTTGAGTAAAGATGCTGATGACCAACCTTTTCAGGATGGGTGAAGTAGAATAGGGATGATGACCCCTTCTTATGGGCGCAGTTCTAAACAGCGACGCAACGAACAACAGCTTGCCAGGTGTTGTGCAGCCTTCCAAAGTCTTAGGTCTGTGCCTCAGCACCGAGGAAGTTTCCGAGGAATTTTCCAAGTCTACTTCTTGGAGCATGCACTTTGACTGTATTGCGGCAGGGTGCTATCACCATAGTCATTCACATCATCTGCGGCATCACGACTGTACTTGTGAATGCTACCAGTCGCTGTCCCGCTCTCCATGCCGTTATCATCATCAGCACCGCGGTCACCGATCGTCATCCAGGAAGCAGCGGAAGCAGCTCAGCAGAAGCAGAAGCAGAAGCACCACCTGCAGTAGCCCTAGCAGGAGGAGCAGCCTTGGCAGGATCGGTTTATGAGTAGTCTGGCCATCAGCAGCAGCGGGAAATCGTGCAAAGCAAGACCTCTGCGCCCCGATCTGACTTGCGCATGCTTGCCTGAGTATGCCGGGAAAATCCAGCATTTTAGGCCTTGGCCACTCAGCCATTTGGGCGAACCGCTTGAGTGTTCTGTTGGGCTCGGCTAAGATGATTAGCTTCAGACTTGCTGTTGCATGGCGCTTAGTGCAGGGTTATTTTCAGCATAAGAACCCAAAATGAATCCGTGCAAATTGAGTGCCATTTTCCACAAACAACCTCTGTACATCCGTAGGATCCTCGGTGATCTAGCATGGCCCAGGATCCTTGAGTGGAATATACTTTGGAAAGCTGATTCAACAGGCCGCCATGCCTGCTCTCGCAACTGGAGCCGCAGCAGGGGGCTCAGACAAGGCGTTCCGCGATCATAGGGGACTCAGGTCCCCACCAAGAGGTCGGCCTTGGTAAGTTAGTTGAGACCCTTGCCTGGAGAAGTTGAGGGACAAAGCCTAAGGCTAGCCTGAAGCACGTAATTTCTAAGTCCTGGACGGACACCTTCCATCTCAAAGCTAAGAAGAATACATACCCTAAAGCCTTTAAGTTGACTTGGGCTGAAGAGCCGCTTGAATATAGCAGCCCCTGACAAAAAAGGCACGCTTACCTTCAAGAAGCTCCTACCCGAAGCCCCGAATCCTAAATGCCAACCAAGATTTTTGCATCCCATATGGAGTCCCCCAAGCCTCTAAACTTCTTTTTAAAGCACCTTCATTACTAAGAAGCCTCAAGACTTCTCACCTAAGCACCTTGAACATCCTAAAGGTCAATCCTAGAATCCTTAACCCTACACTTGGTAAGGTAGCTCTGTGGGAGTTTCCAATCACAGGGGTGCTCTGTTGGGGAGACTCTGGGTCGACGTTGGGCCCACCTATGCATGGAAACTCTCATATTAACAGCAAGAACTCTCAGATCTAAACCTTACACCCTCAACCCTGAAGCCTACACCTTAAACCTGTATAAACCCTGAACCCCTAGAACCTGAACCTTAATCTACAAATCTCTAAGTCGAGGCCTCTGCTGCGGCAACCGCAGCGGCCACCGGAGCCTTCACGTGCGTCGCAGGGGACAATCTGGTTTCGCAGGGAGACCTTTGAAAGGTTTTAATGAGGTAGACAGAGATGTATGCGGATTATATTCCGAGGGTTTGGATTCAGGCTTCAGGGTTTCTAGAGGGTTTTCGGATGTTTCGAGCGTTAAAAGAGCACGATTTAGAGCTTGTCTTCTCACGGTAATCCAGGGCTACATGAGGTTTTAATTTAAGAGTTGGTGAAATGAGTGGAGGTTCATGAATAAACCAAGACTCTGAATCCCTTGCGGACGCCTTGTGCAACGCGCCTCGAAAATTGTGAACACCATGTATTCTTGTTTGGTGTCACTACATGCTTGTGATCGTGGTCTAGTTCGTTGTTTAAGAGCTTATTCGCCCTGAGCCCAAACACCAGGGCTTGAATGACTCGCAGCTGCAGTCCTCAAATCCACGTCCTAAAGCCTACAGACTTTCCAGGTACAACCGAGCGAACTACCTCTTCGATGCTGGGCTACGATTCTCCCGATATACCTCAGGGTACAACTATGCCATGGCGCAGGCGAGGCGCCCTGTCGCTCGATGAGTAGAGCAGATATGTAGAGGGCTCCAAATAGGCGTATACACATGTGCTATGTGCATGATGGATGTGGGTTTATTTGAGTTGTACATGTTTGAGAAATGGCCTTTTTCTGGTTTGAAGCCCTGATTGGCAGTCTAGTTTTTTTTGTTCTTCCCTGCTTTTCAAGGTAAGTCTTCGGAGAGAGATGCATGTCAAAGGTTTGACGTTGGGCTAGTTCTGCGAATGCTGATAACCTACAGCCGCTTTGATCTGTCTCATTCTGAGTCAGGCTAGTTCGGAGCCTCGGGATTCTAAAGAAAAAAGCATGGAAGTGGTTTCCCATTTCAAGAGATGTGCTGCGCACACTCACAACAACCAAACAAAATGGAAGCACCTCTGAACCATTGTCAGCAGAGATGCAGCTAAACGGCTTGGGGCGAGTCTGTGCTCTATCTGTACAGTGTTGGGAAAGACCATTCACGCTGGAACGCTCTACAAAATATTCCCTGGCTTTGGCATCCATGCTCCATGGCCCTTGTCCTGCTGGGAAGTGTTCAGCGCAGCGTCCGGCATCCGCCGGGTGCATACAAAATGTGATTGCGTTTTGGGTTACGAATCCTTTCTGTCGATGTGCTTCAGCGCATACCGAAAGATTGTTCTTTTAGTATGTGGATGGGAGTAAACTAGGGCTTGCGAGGGGAGGAAAGGGAACGATTAGCAGCAAGTGAAGGACACGTCTTTCAAATTGAATCGAGCCGGCAGCCCTCCTGAGTTGGCTGCCGCAGTCAGAATCCCTGTACGCTTGCTTACGCCTTAGGATTTTTTGGTAGCTAGCAAGCCATGTGACAGGCATCAGTTCTGGGTTCAAAGTGAAGCCACGTTTCAGGAAGAACGATGGCAAGAAGAAACAACCTTGAGAGTCCTAAGGACCCCTAGTCTCATCGCATGGATTCAATGACTGTTTTGTTTTAAGAGGATCCCCGCTTTTCTGAAAGGTGGGATCGGTTTTCGTCTTGGTCTGCAGGCAGCCCAGTACCGACAAGACATCCGCGATCTCACAGCCTTGACCGTGACCAAGATGGTGCGGGGCCCATGTGCTGACATCTTGAGATCACCTGTGTTTTAAAGTTTCTTTCTGTGCTTCTGAAATCAGGGCGTCCAGCATTAGATCAGGCGGCGAATCAATTCTAATATGCATGGCGCTAAACAAGACCTATGCCTTGAGAACGAAGAATTTCCTGCTCGGATTGCCCAGGGCTCAGAACCTTAAGTATGGATGAGGTTGTTCGCAAGAAACGTTGTAGATTATAGGGGTGAATCGACCCTGTTGCCATGCCAGCGGAAAGCTTTTACCGTATCGTTACTTCTGGCGCTCAGTGGAGGGAAGGTGGGGCCTTCGTGAAGCTTACCTGAACCTAGTTGGGCTATGCTGGTGCTTGTGCTGGACGGCTGCAGTGGGCTTCACCATATCCATCACTGTATTTTCTACATCCGGTGTTGCAGAGCTGCAGCTTTCCCATCCACATCGGTGTTTATCCCTGACCTCGAACTGTCGGCAAAGCATCTTCAATTGAGCATCATGTTTATTGTTGCATGGGACGAATGTGGTTTCCCCTCGCACCGCCCTCAAACCTTGTTCGCTGCGAAAAAGCCTGGACTCAAGCCTCAATGAGGAGCTACGGAAACATATGCAAAAGTATGGTTTGCAGGATTGGGGCAAAGCTCTCAAAAAAGGCCGCCCTTGATTCCGCTCTCACTTGGGGCATACATAAAGACCACCTCAATCGCTGAATGTGCGACCCGAGGATACCTACCACGTGATCGGCGTGATCTTCTTCGTGCTGAACTTCCAGTTGATCATGGCCGGACGCACGGGGCCTGAGCCCACCCATGCATGACCTAAGTTCGTAAAAATGATTTGGGGATAACTACAGTACGGGCAAGAGCTGCGAGAACACAAATCTGCTTCGCTGCAGAAAGGCAGCCCTAAACCGCGGGCAGCCTTCTGCCACACAAGCACCAAGAAATTCTATCAGTCTGCTTAACTGTGTGGGCAGATCTGATTTTTCTGGGACCAGTCGAGACCATATCAGCCATCGGCGCCACTCCTAAGGTCTTGGAGTACATGGGCCATCCCCCCCTGGATACATCCTGGGCCTTGGCCTCGGAATTGACCAAGAACGCCCAAAATGCCCTTGAACCCTAGACTGGGTTGAGGTTAAGGATCTTTTCTGTATTTTTGTAGAAAAGAAGCCCCACTATCTACTATATATCCAGAATATGGAAGCTTAGTTTAAGTCCCATGACAGCAAGCCAGTAGAGCACCCTAAACCCTAAACTCTGAACCCTAAACCTTAAATAAGCCCAATATATACCCCATCATGATATAGCAGTTTCCATTTGCTTTTCCATTATCCCGTAAAGTAAGTGCCCTAAACCGTAAACCCTGAACCCTAAACCCTAAAGACCCAGGCCTTTGAGCAGTCTTTGGGGCTCTCCATGCCTTGGACCATGATACCTCTTCACGGGAACACTGTTCTCTTGACCTGTAGGGGACGACTATAGGGTATATAGGGTTACAATGGGTTTCATATAGGGGATGATATAGAGGACTACTACGCGGGATATATGGGGATACTAGGAGTGTAGATTATGGCTTACAATAGGTTGATGTCGTCTGCTTGTTGCCTGAGGCGTCTGTGGCGAGATCCACTTGAGACAGTAGATAGCTTCTTTCATAGTCTGCTAGGCTCTGTGCCTGTGAGGAGAGCTTTCGCAAGCAGTCAAATTAAAGTCATGGATGCGAGCACAGAGTTTAGGATGGGCCAGTCGCCTCTGTCGAGTTGTTCTCGAAATCAGTTCCCTCCACAGTAACCCGTGCGAGAAGCCGTGCAAAGTGCTGTGTAGGGATGATCCATGGTGACTCGTGCGCGTTAATTTAGGTTGAGGGATTGGCTGCATCGCTGACAAGCACACAAGCCGCCTGTCTTCAGGCATCTACTGGGTGTGCTCCACCAGTGCGCGGCCCTTGGGAATCTTGAAGACTTTCAGGTGTCACGTTGTCAGAATCAATGCCACAGTAGAGACATCTTAGAGGCTTTGGAAAAAGCGAGCCATCACCTGACAGCTGCGGATCCGAACCCCGAATCCCCTCCCGCATTCCTTTAGTTTTCTGCTGAGCTTCGTCAAGAGTTTCAGACTCCGCCACTTGTTCACCACCGATACTATTGCTATGTTGCATGTTAGCTCGGACTAAGCGGATGCTCTGTAGCACTGGAACTTACACTACGTTGCCACTCAAAAGCAACATGGCACTAAACCATGGAATGCAATCCCATAAGCCTGGAGCCTTACGCCCTGCGATGCAAAGTCGAGGCCCTCATGTTCCTGTGTGTGCTCATCTGGTTCACCTTGCATGTCCCAGCCTCAGAGCTTCTCAAAGGATTCGCAACTATGGGAGAAACTCTTTAAAGGGGGTTATGTAGGGGATTATATAGGGGACGACTATAAGGGGGATACGAGGAGTTTGGACTACAGTTCATGTTGCTACAAGTCTGCTGGCCTGAGTCTTTTGTCATAAGTTTCCGCCTAGGTATCAGGATGTGCGACATATGTGTGGGGTGGGTGGTGATGGTTTGTTCAGGCACATGGCAGCAGATACAGATATGGAGAAGCTGCCTCATTAAGCGTATTTAAAGTGTTCTCGCCTTTTTGTACAACACACTGCGCAAACGATGTGGAACAAGACACGTTGTCACAAGCGTCCATGCCTTTGTCGACCATGCCCAAAACACTGGTATTTACAGCATTTTTGTTTCTCGAGGTCTTGCGGGTTGCGGACTCTGGGTTAGCATATTCAATCTCAGAAACCGAAACTCAATGTAACAAAGAATGAAATCTTGTCCTGACTGCAATAGTTTCCTGGACGTCCAGCTACCCTGTTTTTCCTCCAAATCGCGCTCAAACCTAGGTTTCGTGCCACTGTTACGTATAGAAAGCAACAGGGCGACCTATGCGCCCGCGGCTGCCTTGCTACACGGATACTGCATGGGACAAGACCCAGGCTGGATTGCTAACTGCTTGTATCCTGCGCGGTCCCCAAAACTGCCCACTGCAGTACTTTCATTGTTGGGTCCCACAATCGACGGAAAAGTAAGAAATTGGAAGCTGCTACATAAGATCATTGCCTTCGAGTTGCTGCTGCCACTTTTGCTGCCAGACGATCCAGCTCGGATATGGGCGGGTATGTAGTGCCACAATACGTCGCAAGAAGATTCGGAAAAGACCCCACGCAATTATTCCCTCTTGGTGCTTTGAACCTTGGCAGTAAGTTTTGAAACCTGTCATCCCTGCTGCCCCAAAAAGTATGCAGGTCAGTGGAGTTTCATGAGGGGCAGTCGATAGATTCCAGCAAAAACAAACGCTTTTGACATCCAGAACCTCGTACCCTATATAGCCCGTTAATAGCACCAGTTTCCACTACATTTTAAATTTTCCATTTTATTCTCCATTATTGGGTGGGTGAAATCCGTGTATCATCCCGTTATAGGCCCTAAACGCCCTATTTATTGGCGATATCTATATACTTGGATCACCAAGCTCATCGCCGGCATCGGCCGGGTGCCACAAGTCTCCAGGCTTGAACAACGTGAAAGGCAACATCAGGACTGCTGAAAAGCGCTGACACAGAATAAGGTAGGTTCCATAACTGGGGCACCTTAATATCGATCGCTAAATACAACAATCCTTACTATGGGAACCCCAAAAGGATACCCCTCATTTCGGGAATCCCCACAACCATGCCCAGCAGATGATCATGATGCTGCTGGTGCGGAGGATTTTCACAGTGTTGGAGCTTCGGCCCCTTCATGGAAATATTTCCCGTAGCCCTGACACCAAATCTGAAACGTTCTTAGCCGCCTAAACCCTAAAAGCTATGTAACCCCTATATAACCCCTATATAACCTGTATATAACCTGTATTTAACCCCTATAATCCCTAAGCAGGAGGGTTACTTGCCCAAGGCCTCCGCCCGAGCCACGGCCGGCATGGCCCACATGCTCACCCGAAGCGCGCCATCCTCAGACATGATGTGTATTACATTCTAAGCTCCTTGAAGGGGGTTTTGTAGGGGATTTGGGTCTTGTGTCTAGGAATCAGTGTTCAGGGTTCAGGGAAACTCCTTAAAGGGGGTTATATAGGGGATTTGGGTCTAGGGTCTAGGAAACAGGGTTCAGGATTTAGGGTTTAGGATTTGGGGTGTAGGGTTTAGGGTTCAGGATTTAGGGTCTGGGGTTTAGGATCTAGGGTTGGGGGTTCATGGTCTAAACTCCTTAAAAAGAGTTATGTAGGGGATTATATAGGGGAGTATTGTGGGGTTCATTAAGGGGGATACTAGGAGCTTAGACTACAGGTCATGTAGAAGCATGTGGGTTTAAGGTTTAGGATGGTAGTTCCCAAAATTAGGGTCCCCTTGGTATAGAAGATATCTATAGCCAGAAGGGGCCCATAATTTTGAGAACAACTCATGTAGAAGCTTGAGGGGAGAATGAATTTGGTTCGCTCAGGCAATGTTTGTTTAAGCTAGCGCCCAAGAACAGGGTTCAATTCTTCAGGCCACTAGTTTGTGTACCTCGGACCGGAGAAATCAGCCAACCATCGTCAACGGGAGAATATGCGGACATTATTGGGTAGTGGCGGCTGCTCATGAAATTTGTGGCCTTCATGTTGGGATCACGTCAGAAACCACGAAGATGGTAATGCGGCTGCCAGGTCCTCATCATTCTATATAGTGCTGAGATCTCATCCGGCACTAAGCTTGTCCTTCATAGTCAAGGGATTGCAGCACAATTGCAAGTACGGTTTGAGTAAGCTCTTGGGTGATTACTTGAACCGATGTGGAAACTCAACCTGTTGGGGACCATCGCCCTGAGAATCGACAGTTGGCTATGGTTTGGACTAGACCAGCATTATGAACCAGAATGCTAGTATAGTTGGTAGGAACAATGATGACGATGACGGCACTAGCGACCATTGAAGTGAGGACATGGAGGTCTCAGAATGGGAGGGTGGCAAACGGTAAGCAGCCTGGTGAGTATCCTAGCTATGCAAATCCCTCCTAGCGAGGCCTAGCGTAAATACTTGAAGGATGGGTGGGACCCCCGCCTTGAAACATAGCCTCTATAGCGTGCTACTCGTGGCTTCATACGAACTGCAACGTACGCTGTTCCACCCTAAGGCAAGCAACCAGTGGGGCTTTGGTTAGACCTTAGACAGTAGGGTCTCCCTTCAAAAGCCCAAAGAGTGTGATAATGTGTATGCCTCACCATAAGCATCTTCACAAACACCCTCATCATCATAGCATCCCCATGCTTCCTGCAAACCTTCAGGTGCGTCTGCCCATCCCAACACCAAAGCAGCTGGACAAGGCACGTCGCTAGATCACAATTTCACATATCCTCCCGACATGTATCACGGCAAAGGGTAACGCCTGATAGGTCCTTCACCCCTCCCTGCGTTTGTTACCAGTCGGAAGTCACAAGTTTCTTTATGTGCGGAAACTACAAACAGATGTATATGTTGAAAGAGGCGGCATACTGTTTTCTTTTAAGAATGCGAGCTCTTGCTCTGCTCCACGAAGTTACATAAACACCTGTGTACGATTAGATTTGAAAGCTTACTTTAGTGACCTGTTTGGAGTGCCAAGGTACCTGTTTCAGTCAAGAGCGTTTTTTCCTGAGTTGGGCCTCCCTCGCATACTTTGGTGCTGGCATACTCCCTTACCTGCTAGAGCTGTTGCAACATGATGCGACCCTGCAGCTTGTGATTTTTTCTATTTCTTTGAGGTCATTCAGATTCCTCCCCTCCGGCTGTGGTGTGGTGGTTCTCGCCCTCCCAGAAGTAAAGGCAGCATCCTTGCAACTGATTGTGACCCTGCAGCTTGGGCATCAGGAATGCCTCGTCATGTATAGATGCAAGTGTTCGTAGGGTGCATACCTTGATCTTGATATAAGTCTGGACAATGCTTTTGAACTTAAAAGGTTTTCCGCCCCGACGTAAATCAGAAGCTTAGATCCGCGTAGTCCGAAATTTGCTCAGAAAACCATTCTGCAGGCAAGGCGCACGGGAAACATGCTGCTCGGCAGAGAGATGGGCTGAGGAAGTGTTGTCATTGTTGAATTATTCAGGCAGGCAAGAACAATTTTCTGTTATCATACAGGGTTTAGATGGTGATTTGGGTGTAAAATGATCCTTCAGATCGGGTCCTGAAGTCAAACGCAGCCTAGCCGGCTACGGACTTCAATGGAATTCAGACGCCTTCCGTGGAAGAAAAGCTGGAGGAATTGGTTCAAGGATAGGACAGGCAGGGTCGAGCAGCGGACAGCTGCGGTGGTGCCCACAAAGTCGCTTCAGCCGCAATTACAGGTTTATTCGAAAAACTTATGGCCTCTCTAAGGGTAATTACCAGTCATCTAATGGAAGCTGCCTGCCTGCCGGGACGGAAGTTTGGCCAATGGGGCAGGCAGTAAAAAAGGGAGACCCGAGAAGAAGGTAAGCCAAGTGAGCTATAGTCTCAACTCCTAAAAGGGGGTGACATAGGGGATTCTATCGGGGAGTAGTATAGGGCGGTTATTCAGGCGGCTGCTAGGAGTTTAGACTGTAGCTCAAGTGACTTCACAGGCTGCACGCACCTGCGACTTTGTTTATGATCGTGACCCAAGAACAAGAAGGGTCAAACAGTGTTCGACTTTCACAGTAGGAGCCTTTTTCATTATGATTCCTGGAGGCCCTATATCATGCCTACTTGTCCTAGGCTTGGAGGGTATTTTAATTGCTGACGGAGGCTGGAAATGCAAGCCCAGGGGATTGATGGCTATTCCATTCTTATGCTGCTATGGCTGTTGCTGCCGTACACCAGCTCGGTTTTTGGATGTCTACAGATGCTGGTTGCCCTGGAACCCAAGCTAACCTCGCCGCGATGCTGCGCTGCGTTTCCATCATCAGCATTTGGGTCCAGATTTTGTGTCCATGTCAAATATGTATACGTATTCTTCGTTCCAGAGAATAGAGCCTTGCATTGCACCGCCCCATAGAATCCTTGAAGCAAGCCTCCAGGGTGCATTGTCAAAGTGGCATGTTTCAAAAGGCGGTCCTCTTGTATTTCCAAAATGGGGGTTTCCCAAAATTAGGGGTAGCCTTTTCGGGTCCCTAGAATAAGGTTATCATATTTGGGGGTCTATATTGGGGTCCCCTATTTAGGGGAACTACCAAATGTCCAGAGACCTGCAATCCTCGAGCACTGCGCGGGGATGCAAGGTTTGAGAAGCAGCGTGTCACTGACATTTTGCGCGTCCCCTTTGTGGTTCCCGCGCCCAAGGAGACTGGGGGTAGAGAGCCTGTTGGTAATTGGTGTCACATTAAGGGTCTAAAGCAAGCTCCAGTATATAACAAATTATACAGGGAGCGACATAACTGGGGTTGCTGCTTGCAACGGGTTTCGTCATTGCTCAAGGACAGGAGTTTCAGACCCCACTGGGGGATTTGAAGCTTCTCGGATGATATAAAGTAACCATATTCGAGTGCAAGCGTCGTTCTCTAGCGATGGGGAAATGCCAGGTGGAAGGTACCAGTACTTCGAGGGTCCCAATTGTACCAGAGGAGCCCAAAGAGGGGCCACAGTTTCCGGCAACATTCAATGGTGAACTTGGCCGCAACCATAAGGAGAAAATTGATAGCTCCCGCGGTAATAGCATCCGATGTGAGATGCCCAGTAATGTCATACATCAGCAAGGTGCCAATGCAAAATGTCTCCTTGAGTTCAGAAATGAGAGTTCAACATGCAAAGTTTTTTCGTGAGAAGCCTTCAAACACAGGAAGATTGGCCTAAATGAGTCTATTACTGAGTTATTCCTGTTCCCTGTAAGTCCGGGTCCCATCTTGCGTTGGGTTCCCCAGTTGAGGGTCAGTGATATGGGCAAACTCCAGTTACTGACAAGAACATGAGTTTGCTGTCCTGCAAATGTTCATGAAGGCGTCATGCAGCCCCGATTTCTGATGGGTTGTTCTTTTCAGTGGGGGTCATCATCACGGGAAGAAAACACAAGATTCAAGAAGGCGGAAAAACAAGCTTCACAGATTTGAAAATTCACCCTCGTTGCGCGCACCTGAAGGACCCCTAGTTCTCTAAACCCTAAACTTTCCTTGGCAGGAGGCTGAGGAAGGCACCGACCCAGCATCTTGGCTGAGTGCACGAGAAGAAGAGACGGGTCGTAAAACCTGAATGTGTATAATAGTAGTTTCCATTCTCTTTTCCATTATCCCAATATAACCCCAATATACCCTAATATAACCCCCATTATAAACCCCATAATCCCTATAGTTTCCATTTCCTTTTCCATTATCCCAATATAACCCCAATATACTATAAGGGTTTAGGCTCCATCTCTGGGGTCCTTGTCAAAGCCCCGGGGTGTAAAATGCTGAAAGCACAACCGACGCAACAGCAAGGGTTTCAGATGTTGCGGCGCTTGGAGTGGTGATTGGAGCAGTGCTGGAGTTGTGATTCATCTACAAAGAAGAAACAGCCGTGGAATTGTTTCTCGAGACAGGGGCTGCCTATGTACGGTGCAAGGAGTCTAAAATTGGGACCCAATGTGAGACTCTGCAACATACAGATTGGGTGGTGAAATTTTAGGACGTATGATTTCGAGCCTTGACGAAAAACTTGAGATCTTGTCAGTAGTTTTCCACTCACAGAAAGCGGAAGCACCTTCTACAGCCCGTTTACAATGTTGGTTTGTATGGGATGTGAATTTAGTGGGCTTCAAGGGAGATCGGTCAATTACCCGAAACATATTCAAGCCCAGTAAACGCAGGCAGTCAGTATCCTCTGATCACATCCCCCCACGGCATCTGTGTAAGGGACCTCGATATTGTTCAATTGCCACAAATGGGCGTGTATGGAGGAACTGCTACAAGTGAACAAAGTCGGGTTTGCTTGTACTTTGGCTTCACCCCTTTCACAGCCAAAACGGGGGCTGATCAGTTTCGAGGCTTGACGTGTTGAGTGTGTCATCATCCCCCTTCCTCAATGCTTCAGATCGTGCGTGAAACCTGTTTGGCCACTTATAGAATTGCATGGTAAGCCAAAACCTGAATAGTAGTTTCCATTTCATTTTCCATTATCCTAATATAACCCCAATATACCCTAATATTACTCCAATGGGTACCTTGAACCCGGACATTGACGAATAGCATTGCTTCTGGGTCCAGAACGCGTTGTTTTCCATGCTTCCAAGCCCTTGCAGTGCACCGCCCCGGCTGTAGGATAGGCTTCCCTGCAGCGCCCTCAAACCCTAAGTCGGAGAGAGTCTGTAGACATCCGACGTAAGCCCAGACCCCAAACTCCTCCTAAACTCAACTTCCTAAAAGTCAGAAACCCCCAGCCTCAGGCCAAGAAGAGCGGTTCTGGCAAAACTGGCGCTCAGCGCAGGATTTAGCCAGGGCTTGTCGGGACTTCCATTGTACAGATATAACTCAGGCTGATGTTCTCACGCGCTTACAAAGCGTGCAGCATCTGCCGAAATCAGGGTTCCTTGTATATCTTTAATTCTAAGACGCCAGACCTTCAATCCTTAATCTTGAGCCCAAACTCCCTAAACCCTGAATCCTAGCTCCGAAGACCTAGAGAACCCTGAGCCTTAGCATCCTACACACCCTAATTAGATCCCGGAACTTCAAATCTCTGGCAGGATGCCCAAGTGGTACCAAGATGAGAGCAAGGAGCCACTTCAGAGCTTTGATGTTGTGTGGGCATGTCCTCCCAGACCTTCAGAATGTACCCAAGAATTGCAGGTTTTGCTCTGACCTAGGGCTTGTTGCAGCCCAGAATCGCCAGCATAGAAAACCGCAACATATATGGAGCTGACACATAAGATACATGGGATGTTTGGAGCACTTTGCAGCTCTAGGTTTAAGTTCCCCCCAAGAAGTGCTGCGATTTTTCTTAGCATTCGATCGGCTTTTGCTGATTACAACTGATCCCTTGTTTCCACCGTGTTTGTCCTCCTTGTTTGCAAGAGCGGGTCTACGCAGGATAGTTATCAAGAAGACTTCAGTATATGCAGGCAGAAGACAGAGATGCATGCATATGCTGGTTTCTACAAATTCGTTCAGGAGCACGTATTTGGGGATACATTAGGGGGGCTTTTGTTTTCTCAAGCTCGCATGCATGCATGCGGTTGATACCAAAAGCCTGCATCACCCTAAGCACCTTATACCTTGAGAATGATGGTTTCAAAGTATACGAAGTAACACAAAGGTCATGCAGGATTGTTGGTACTAGTAGTACGTTTACGTTTCGGTCAACATAGCATCCTCCTTCTAACGCCATGCTTGGGGGTCAGGGGGGACTCTTGTGGGTCAGGGGGGACTTAGTAAGCACACTTATAACTCCTATAATCCATTGAAGGATTATAGGGGTTGTGATTGTACTTGCTATATCTAATGCTCACCCCCAACCCTAAACCCTAAACAGTAGTTTCCATTTGATTTTCCATTATCCCCATATAACCCCAATATAACCCTAATATGATCTGCCCCTATCTTACACCCTAAGCCCACATAACCCCAACATAACCCTGTTCAACCCCTCTGCTTACTAAGTCCCACTGATCTTCCACCATCAGGACCTCCACACTAGCAAGGGAGGCGCTCCGGCTGCTGTGCGGGGCAGGGAGACCCAGCTATGCTGCGTATGGGTACCCATTGGGGCAATAAAACGGAAGCTACTATTTAGGGTTTATATACAGGGGTATATTATATTAGGGGTTATATTGGGATAACGGAAAATAGAATGGAAACTATTACAATGGGTTATATTGGGGTAATATCAGGGTTATATTGGGAGAATGGAAAATAAAGTGGAAACTACTATTTAGTTTTGGGATATAGGTACCCATTGGGGTAATAGTAGGGTTACATTGGGACAATGGAAAATAAGCTGGAAACTACTATTTAGGGAATAGGCTTTAGCACTAATTAATGTGGCTTGGAGCACAAAGTGCCGTTTTCGCTAGAAAGGACAACCCAAAGAGGCAAACATCCAAAGGCCGAATCCCCTCGAGCCTAAACCTCGCAAGAAGCACCAGCCACCTGTCCTAAACTACAGGTGCAAATCCCGAGCACTTCGAGTTGTACCGTGGCCTACAGCAGGACTGTCCGTTTGGGACATGCAGGTCACGTAATAGCCCTGCGAAATTCACTGTAATGGCCCTCCATAAGAAGATCCCTACATCTGGCTAGTGTATTTCCATTGTGGACTTCAATGGATTAAGAAGATTGCGAGGGTCAAAGGGAATATTTGAATATTTGGTATGAAGGTGAAGAGGGCAACCGGCAAATACTCAGACCTCTGCGTGACTCTCAACTCAGACACCCCAGAATTCAGCAACAATGGGCTCCAACCCTACTTGAAAGCTCGTGGGACTTAGTAACTACTTCTAACTAGGGTCAGAAACCCTACTTATAGCTGGAACAAACATGAAGGCAATTTAAGGGAATCATAAGTACGGTTATAAGCCCATGGCTAAGTCCCCTTAACCTTCAACAACATCCGAACCCCAAACATGACCCTGACCTGCCACACTACGACCCCCCCCCGCTCCTATCAATACTAATGAGATCTTCAACCTCCACCTTCATAGCTGGAACTCAACTGCCAAGATTTCCAGGCCGTAGTCTCACTGTAACTCCAGACCCCAACGCTCAACAAAATTCCGTAGAATCCATGAAGAAGTGTTGAGGAGCCTTCTTCTTGAAGAGCCTTCCTAAACTATAATTCAAGCAGTTCTAGGAGAAGACGAGATACAAATCATAGTATCAACAATAAGAAGACACAACCTCGTGCTGTGCATTTTTCACTTGCACATTCTAGGAGTGGGCCGTGCATGACTGCTACGCGCGCATCGGCATCCTCTACTTCTTCTCACACTGGATCACTGCTGCGCTGGCCTCTGAGGGCTTTAGGGGTTGCAGTAGGGGGTTTGGGGCCCAAAACCCTAACTTAAGGGTTCAGGGTATAGGGTTTAGGGTTTAGGGTTTTAACCCTAAATCCCTAAACCCTAACCCCTACCCCCTACATGCAGGATGCAGGGCTGAGGCTCTGGGATGAAAGAAGGTTTGGTAAAGGGGGTGTGGGGTTGATTTGGTGGCTTCAGGTGAATAGTCTGAATAGTTCAGTCTGTAGAGTTGTCAGCGTTAGGGACTACGTCTGTAGTGCGTGCTTGTGTGGTTTGAGATAATGAGACCTGGGTTGCATGGATTGGTTCGGCCTCCTGCACATGCTCTCAAGGCAGGATGCCAGTCTTGTGTAGGTTTTAACTGCAAACTTTTCATCACGCGGTTGGGCTAGTTGGCCGGATCAGTCTCCGGGGCTTCAAGCCTTTCCATATAAGTCCCTTTGCCAAATCTCCAGCTGGTGTTTTACTTGTCTGAATAAGAGAGTTCCCAAGCTCTTCACCTCTAGGCCCTCTTCCTTCAGCCCCCAGACTCCTCAGTCCCTGTCATGTTTATAGTCTGGCTCTGAGGCAGCAATCTACACTCAGTGCCACTGCTTTGGAGAGCTCCGAGGAGTGGGGGACCTGAAAGAGCAGTTGCATTGGATGGTGGAATGATCTGGCTTAAGGCAAGGATCCTCAAGATTGGGGTCAGATCCGTACGTTGTGCCAAAAGTAGCTGTGAAGTGGACCTCCGTCCTCTTTCTAGCACTCGGAGCTCAATCAAGAATCCAGTTTGGGCCCCTTTAAGCAAAGTTGCGGAGGACGGATACTAGGCAAATATGTTTGGCAACGGCAATCAGCTTTGGGAGGCGGGTTTTCCATTTCCTGTCTGGGTCTTGTTGGGGATCACTAGACAAAGGCACAGCATTGAAAAAGTCGAGACAATCTGAGGATCCCTTCAGACCCCTGGGTTTGGAGGCTTGAAGGTTTCCTCATTACGGACAGCTACAAGGAGGTGTGAATTCTGTGGAGCATATTCTTCCAAGGCTGGTTCTTTTAGGGGTACAAGCCCAGCTTCTGCTTAAGGTGTGTTCTGTGTGTGTGTGTGTGTGTGTGTGGTAATTAAGATCTCCAGACTTACTGGTGGTGAGGAGGCGAAAGAGAGAACATGGGGTATGAAGATGATATTTGGGATCATTAAGTGAATCCAGTGACTACTGTAGGTGTCCAGTCCTTCCTTGCCTACAAACCACCCGTAATAGTAAGAACAGGAATAATACTAACGATAGGAAGAACAGTAAGACTAGGAAAAATGAGCAAGTAGAGAAAGATGGCCAGCCTTCCCACCAAGCTCAGTTACATTTGAGCTATAGTCTAAACTCCTGAAAGAGGGGGCTTCTAGGGAGATATTAAGGGGGATAGTAGCGGTTTAGACTTTAGCTCATTTGGGTTGTGTTGTGTTTTGCTGCTCTCATAGGTTGCCCCTTGCCAAACATGATAGTAGATCAGCCGTTGTGCAAGATTCGATGCACGTGAGGCTTAGATTGCCCTCAACCTGCAGTGCTGTTGTACTTCCAGGCAGTAGGATCCTCACTGCCCCGCAACGGGCGTGATCTTGCGCACCTGAACCGCAAGTCTTCAGTTTCCAAACCTTGCACCCTTAAGCCCCAAAGCTGAGATTGCAAAAAACCGTCAATAAAGAACCAAAAGCCAAGAAGGGAGCCCTGCGTGCGTTTACAATCCCTACGCCCTACATGCCCTACGAATCCCAAGGGCATGCCTCCATTGATAGACATCAACAGACTGGCACATACCAAACCTGAAACCCTCCGCAAATCCCCAAATCTGCTTTGACTGAGATTTGGCCGGCCTGGAGTTGCAGCGTCGTCTTCTGCACGGCACATTGGTGCATGCTAAAGCTGGACATCCAGGAGGAGAAGGGGAGTGGGGACTTTTGGGTTTAGGGCTTTAGGCTTAGAGGGGGTGTCGTTGGGGGTAGGGCTTACGGTTTAGGATTCAGATTGCAGGAGGAGGGTGAAGCGTTCAGGATATTTAGCGTTCAAGTGTATCGGGCTCTTGGAAGGAGGGGGGGAAGCCGCTGCTGCACAAGGCTTTCTTTCTTTGGACACTCCAGAGAGTTAGGTTGTATGAAGCTAGACCTGCTGGTTTCCGACGACTTGGGTCATGTAGGTATTAAAAATATGGGCATTCTCCTTGTGTGACTTTATTCTTCCCATCTCACATGCTCACTAGAGCGGAGAAAGGTGAGTGGAAGACTTGGAGAGATTTGCGGCCGCATTGGCTGTACTCAGGAGTCAGACAGCAAGTTCATCGGGCAGCTCCCAATCGAGAACATTGTGCCCTTCACGCCCGCCGTGATCTCAGCAATTTCCATCGCCTGGAAGAGGGGGGCTTCCTCAGCAGACCTAAGAAAAAATGAGGATCAGGCTTGGTGGAGTAGCTTGAAGAGCGAGCAACATTGTGCCTTACCATCCCTGTGCAGATGTTGTCCAATAAGTGGGCCCTACAGTAGTCAGCCCTGCCTTCGAGGGTCAGGAGTGCCCCGAGAGAAAGGCTAGCTGAATCCTCGCCACAGAAAGCTCTTGCTCGCCATTTTGCCGTAAAAGCATCCTCCAAAAAAAATGTCGCGTCCACAGTCATAAAAACCTGGCCAAGCCTTATGGTAGTTTCCTGAATACCATAACCCTGATTATGGGGACCCCCAAAAAGGTTCCCCCCAATTTTGGGAACCCCCCCCCTATTGTCATATTTCCGCTGACCCAGATGCTGCTGGTTCTTGCCATGAGCCTGGACTACTCAGTGCTGGTGCCAAACGACGGCCCGAGGGCCCAAAGATGTGGGGCTTTCTCAAAGCTATGGTTCCCTATTCGGTGGTTTCCCAAAAAAGGGGACCCCAACAAGAAAGACCCAAAATACCATAGTCCTTATTATAGGAACCCCCGAAAAGGTGCCCCTAATTTTAGGAACCCCCTATTTTGAGGATTTAACAGAAGGACCCTTATGTTTTGTAGGAATGGGGGTCTGCGCCATTGAGTTAGACCTTGGGTCCTGCCCCACCCAGCAATGATAATATTTGGACACACCCCCCCCCCATGATCCACCG